CCCTAAGTTTGCTTTTCTGTGAGGCATTATGCTTTTCTGTGAAAATGAACTAAAGCAGATCATCTTCTATCTATCTATATAAATAAAAATGTAATGTTCGTTTGTTCCTACCGATTCCTTTGAAATTTTGACACAACGCTGCATTCGAATACGCACGTGTTTTTATATAATATATGTGTCGAAATTCCCCCCACTGAAGGGAGATGGTTAGGATTAAGGCTTACCGTAAAGAACTCTGCTTCTATTTATACTATTTTAGATGCGGGTTTTTTTTGCGTTTTTGATTGCATTTTAATAGGGTACGTCAATAGAATGTACACTAAGAAGGGATTTTTCGATATTCCCCCGCGGGGGAGAGAGACAGAATTAAGGCTTATGGTGAAGAACTTGGCTTCTATTATATTATTTTAGATGCGGGTTTTTGCGTTTTTGATTGCGTTTTAGGGTACGTCAAGAGAATGTACACTAAGAAGAAATTTTTTGAAAAATTTCCCCCCACGGGGGAAGTGTTAGACATTTATAATAGATACATTTTGAGCCACAACAACGCATGGCGGAGTCTGCTAGTATTTAATATAATAAAAATATTTACTTCTATTGTAATTTGTCAATCAAAAATATTTTAAAATTTTGTTTGGTATGCAATAATAATTGTGGGCCAAATTATGTTACGGGGCTTTTTTTCCTGTAATTGGTTTCTGAACACTGTTGTTAAGTGAGCCACTGTAAATTAAACTCTGGTTTTCCATACTTTCAGTGTAAATTGAGGGCCTATTCTTGAAAATAGAATTATCAGTATGAACTACTTAGTGTGATATATTACATCACACTGAGATAGCAACAAAAAAATACAGTAATCATTATAGAAGAAAACTTGTACCATTTGTAAATTTATGGATATGCAGTAGAACCTGTCTCAGAAGTTTAAATTTTCCAGTCCCGGCATTTACACCATAAAATGTGTGTTAAAATTTTCCCTGTAACAAGTTTTATATGTTAAACTATGCTTTGTTATATTAGCTTCATATTGATATAAAATTGAATATACAAATAAAAAATTATTTTTTTACAATTTCTGCCTAAGAAATTTTTTGACATGACTCTTCAAAAACTTTTTAACAGGGTTCTACTGTATTATATTTTATTTATTATATATATACATACATACATATGTGCATGTGTGTAAATTTCTTATGAAAATAGTTTTAGTAAACTCATATATTAGATAAATTAAATATATACATGGTTAACTTTCATGCATTTCATGCAGAGCTATGTTAAGACAAGACTAATGTTAATGAGTAATGAGTTTTCTTAAAATGTAGAAGACATATTCTATGTTTTCTTCCAAAGAAGAAAAGTTGTTTTGCAATTTAAATGCTTGAAGAAGTCCATTTATTGGACGAAAGTACTAAAAGTTTAATAAGTCTAACTTTGTTGTACCAGTGTACAAAAATTTTTTAGTGAATCACTGATTAATGATGTTTTGTCAGCTATACATTAATACAAATTGCTTTGTTCTTATTAATTTGAAATGCTATCAGACATTTCTAAATTTAATTACTTTGTTTTTACTAAAAGTTTAAAATTATCGATTTGCGCAAGAATTTAAATTTTGCAAAATTGATACATTTTGTTTGTTTCAAAATGTTCTATATTTATAAAAATAATTAAATTTATGGTCATATTTTAGAATTGTTCTTAAATCCTGTAATCATCATACGAGCAATGTGATGAATAATAGCCTTCTAATTATAAAACAAATGCTGTGAGATTTGACATATTTAAAGATAAAAATCATAACTATTACATTTAGTCATATTGTAGATATACAGTTTTTAATGATAAATTAATTAAAAAAATTATACAATTAACATTATTGTGAAATTATCTTGAAACATTGCTGAATATACTTGAAGTTTGTCACTTATTAATTATGATTTCTTTACAGTATGGCACAGAATCTTCTCTCAAATCCTGAACTTCTAAGACAACTACAACAAATGCAACAGACAATTCAACAGACCGAAGCATTGAAATCTGAAATTTCTTCTCAAGAACAACTTCAACAACAGCATCTGAAACGTGAAGAATATTCTCAGCCGTTAATTGAAGATAGTTCTATGGTATGGATTTTCTGCTACAAGATTTTTATCATAATTAGACTATTTGTATGCTTGTATACATTCTGTCTTTAAGAGCATATTCTGGTTTAGAGAAGTTAATTGAATTTCTGTATTAGACATCAGATTAATCAAAAATTATTCATTATGACATTGTCACAAGTGATTCTGCTGTTTGCTCAACAGAATATACCTCAGAATCTTACTTTATTATTGTTTTTTTTTTTACAGTCTATGCAATCAATACCATTCCCAGAAGAACAACCACCAGAACCAATGATGCCTCCTTATAGTAATAATGCAGTTATGTTTACTAGTCATCAACCTTCCACACCTATCACCGACGATGTTGATTCAATGCCTTCGCAAGATGTTTATCGAAATTCAATCATGGAAGGAAACGAAAGGTGTCAAATTTCTGCTGCTCCCGATGTGGATGAAAGATTTGGCGTAGGATTAGAACATCCTCTGTCATTACAAGATATGGATTTAAGACCAAAATTATCAGCAGATGTAAAAGACGATCGAGAATTGGGAAAATTGCACAGATCTAGATCTCGATCAGGATCGCGATCAAGAACAAGGTAGTCTTAAGTTTTGTATGTTTATTGATATTATTAACCCATCAAAGTTAATTGTAATATGTCATGCTATACAATGAATAGTGTTGTGTTTTTTTTCCTGTTAAGTTTATTGATTTAAAAAAAAAATTAATCTTAATTTCAGTTTTGCTTTTCTATAGATAATATTACAAAATATCTCTTGCAAAGGAAATTTAAATTTATTATGAAAAAGATTTAAAATGCATTTGCAAGAGTATGAAAATATCTTTTGTATTTATTATATAGGATGCATTTCTTAGCTACTGTAGGGCTAGTGCAGAGAGGTTCATCAGCACTGAAGACAAGTTAAGATGGCTGCCACCATAAATTATAAGCATATTATATACTGTACCTGAAATGAAGATTGTAACATATGAAAATCTATTTTAAACTGGTTAACAGGAAAATTAGGAACACAATTTTCTATTTTGACATAAACATCTTCAGATTTATTATGCACATGTTTTATTGTTGCTGTTTATCATATAGGTAATTGCATTTTTACACAACATCAAATTTTCTTGATTAGCTTCCTCTGATATTTTTTAGTCTAAAAAAAAATTCTGTTTTGTTTCTTACTAAACATTTTTATTTGTACAAAACAATGTATACAAAGAAAAAATTGAATTATGACTATTTACAAAAAATTTTTTAAATTTTTCGAGTATCTTTCATCCTTTTTAACACACCACAGAAGTAACAGTATATTGGCTTGGATGAATTTCCACATGTTATCATGTATGCTGTAATGTATACAAAGAACCAAACAACAATGCCGAGGCATAGAACTGTTTTCTAGGAAAGCATAAATTGCTTAAAGCATTCTCCAGCAGCTTTACTAGGAAACGCACTCATAACGTTCAGTAGAAATGCATGATAATTAATCTCTCCCTTCTTTAAAACTTTTATTTTTGTAGATTTTTCACACTGTTGTAAATTTACTTTTAATTGTCTGTTTTTAAAAAATCTACTTTGTGTTTTACCACAAATGAATCCAAACAGTTATAAATTTAAATTATAAAAGTTGTAAATTTTTTTTTTTACAGTTATAAAAGTATGAATAGTACAGAGCAATTTTTAATATTACTGTTGCTAGAAAGGTTTATCTTATCAAAATGAAGACATTATTGAACTCTCAGTATTTAACAAGAGTATATACATGAAGTCACCAAAGTATTTAGTGACTTCATTTGGTCAGTCAGTTAAAAACAAACCTTGGGGTTACTTTTCAGAAATGATGCAAGATTTAGTAACACTTTTTATTATTAAAATAGTTGGTAGTACCAAAAAGAAATTTGTAGTACCAAAAAGAAATTTGTAGTAAGCATGCTATTGGCACCTACAAATCTTTTGTTCTGTTATCTGGTTAACTCATAGGGCTGAATTTTTGCTTTGTGCAGGTAATAAAATGGAAGGAGGTAAAGAAAAATAGAGATTTGTGCAATTCTCTCAGTGGAAGGGCTAGGGGAAACAGATTTACAGATGAATGAATGCAATGTATGACAATTATTGTATCTCTGTAGTGAAACTGAAAAAATGAAGTAAACACTTTTGAGAAGGGCATACATCTTTGAAAGATGACAGTGGGCCAAGCTGGCCTAATTATGTTATTAAAAATAAAATCATCTAACAGTTGACAAAGCCATTCACAAAATGAGAAAACTTGCAGAAGATTATCTAGTGACAATAGTTAGTGTTTTTGGCACTAATAGGGCATTTTTTTCACGTTCATTGTATATTCAAATTGCATTGGACCAAGAAGAGAGGGTTCAAAGAACAGTAAAAGAGATTCTAAGAGAAAGGGATTGACTGCCTCATATCTCGGTGGTATAAACAAGTAAATAATTCTGGAGACTGCTTTTAAGGCAATAGAAATACAGTCAAACTTGATTATAATGTGTTTTAGGGAAAGTCTTCCTCAATATAAACATTACTTATTACATCTATGAAGAGCAGTGATACACAACAATTAACACCTAACCGCCAATTCCAGCACTGAATGAACAAAAATTTTAATGCTTGAATGGGGAAACCCTGGGTTCCCCATTGTTGGCTCATTTGTTGGGGGAACCCGGGGTTTCCCCATTGTTGGCGGGGTTTCCCCATTGTAGCCTCATCCCAACATGGAGAACCCCCGGGTTTCCCCATGTTGGGATGAGGCTACTCTTTTGCATAGGGCCTTTGACCGACACGACTTACACACGTTGGAGGCTATTGAGATTTATATAGAAACCATGAAGGGAAACTGCATTAACTCTGATTATATTCCGATTCCACAATCATGGAAGTATTATTTATATTGCCACAAAGCACAACAATAATTGTATGTGTAATTATTTTTCATTTTTCTGCTTTGTAAAAGAAACAATTTGTTTACATCGCGCTAATTTTTACAACGACATAATAATAATTTATGTATAGCATTATTTTAAAATAATTATTTTTATGTTGTAAACGTTTAAATTGTTTAAATATTTAAAAATTTGGAACACAGCTGTATTCGACAGTTAGAATTTTTCAAATGATAGAACTGTTTTTTGTGTTTTCATCCTGAGGAGGGCCTCTAAAAGACAGCCGAAAACGTTCGAGCATTAAAATTTTTATTCATTCAGTGCTGGAATTGGCGGTTAGGTGTTAATTGTTGTGTGTCATATATAGTTCCAGTTTACTTGTGCGAGTTTTTTGTCTGATAAGACCAGTGATGTAACTAGGGGGAGGATGGTGGCTGCTTTGAGCTCAAATATGTAGGGAGCAAAATTTGTAGCTACATCACTGATAATTAGTGAAATCTATCTTTTAGTTTTTAATTCTAAATAAGTTGATTTAAAAAAATAAAATATAATTNGATGTAGAGCTACAGACGAGCAGAGACACTGATTGGTTGACCACTGGTCGCCGTAGCACATGTATAAGGTCAGTTTGAGTGGGAAAATTCAAGGTGGCTAAGGAGAGATAGATATTGTCTGGCTAATAAAAAAGTATCTTCTGGCCAACAAGAAGTAGATTTGTCTCACTAACAATAGTTTGTGATCGCTGGAAGTGCTACTGCATTGTAAGGTGTTTTCTTGAACGAATTGATATGGGATACATTCGTAGGCGCTATGGATTCGGACGCCATTTATTGGACTATTAAGTTTGATAACTTGACTCGTGAGTACTTAAACGTTTAGTGTTTTAATATTAATTTAATGCAAATGTATACATACCCAATAATATTAAACAGAAAAACTAAATATATTCAATAAAAATCTTTGTTTTAACGAATGTACAATGTCACGGCTCGGTAAATACGTCAACACTGAAATGAAAATCAGTCTAGCATAGGGAAAATCGGGGAATTATACCGCGAAATGGCAAATTGCGTAGCGGCGTTATTGTAAATTGGCGTAAATTGAGCCGGCGTAAACCGAGGGCTACCTGTATTGAGGAAATTTTGATAATGAAGTTGGAAAATCTTGAAGATATCTTCAGAATTTTTTAGTAATCACTTCTCAATGACAAAGTTAAGAATTCTCAATTATTTGAATTATGAGATAAAATTTGAAAAAAAATGAAGAAATATTGCTTATTTTTCTTGAAATGAAAGAAGAAATAATTTGTAAGCACAGTATCTTAAAGTCGTTGTTCATAAAACATTCTTAATTATATAATTAAATTTTTGTATAGCTAAATCACTTGTATTGTTAATTCAAATACAAGATTAAATTAACAGTAAAAGTGATTCTCAGGGAACTTAGACTTAACTACTTGTGGTAACATCTAAAGTTGTGATATTCATTGATAATGATCCAAATTGGCCTGTATTTTGAACATCATTTGAATGATCATTGAGAATTGGCCTGTATTTTGAACATCGTATAATATGTAAGCACAAGTCATCTGTACGTAAGAAGTTAGCATCTAACATATGTGCAGTACAATGTCAAAAGTACCATGCAAGGATAACATTATTTTGGTATTTGCAAAAGTAATTAAGACCAGACTCTAATACTATGAACATCCAACTTAGGACATCTACAAATATGAATTAAATGCTGGTAAAGAAAGTTATTGTAACTAATTGGTGAACTACTGTATTTAGTATAACAGAGAAATGTTACTACTACATAATATGCTAGTATTATATGTAAATAGGCTATTTTTACATAAGTTACATACAGACTCATCTTAACAATAGTTTCAGAAACAGGATCCATTTAAAACCTGTGTGCTGACACTTGTGCCAATTTTGGTAATTAACCATCTTAGATGCTCTGAAAATGAAAAACTAATGAATTCAGCCGTTATTTGTCTAAAACAGTTAGGTAATTATCAAAAGCATACTCTAGATTGATTATTTTGTTGATTTACACGAACTTTCATACACAGTTTTAAATTGTATTCACAAATTATACTATAATTCTCTTCAAGTTCTTACAGATTAACCATTGGCTTTCTTAATTTAAGAAAATAAGTTCTTTTTGTAAAACTTGAAATTATAGCTAAAAGTTATAAATAGGTTATAAAATATGATTATTAAGACTGAAAAGTTTTCTAAATTTTGATCAAATGCAGATAAAATAATTTGTAAATACGCTATAGTAAGTAAACCATAAACAAAATGACTATTTGTTTGAAATGACACAAACAGTAAAACTTCTCAAACATTTTTCTTAATTATCATCAGAAAAGATTGAAATATAACTCTAAATTCTCTAAAACTGATTTCAAAGGAAATTTGAAACATACAAAATGAACAAAGAACAATATCTGTTCTCTGGAACTATTTTTATACTCGAAATTTGAAAGTAGAATCAAAATTTCATTGCAAGATTAAATTTTATTAGTTAAATTAATATAATTATTTTATCAATACAATTAGGTATAATCAATTAGTAATCGTCAATAATAAGAATAATCAATCAATGATCCAAGAACTACTCTTAGATTACATACTGCAATGTAAAACAGATATTGAGTTTTTTATTTAGTTGCTATGATTTGATCATTTTAACAAACCTCTTTCACTGTTGTTACCTTAAAAACAACATAAGATTATAAATTAACAACAACTAAAATACAGCATTTAGAGTAGAAATTAATTATAGGCTATTATGATAAAGTATTAAAATTGCTCAAAAATGTTTTATCTAGGAACCAATAGGTAGTGAAGTAAATAAAATTAAGAATGAAGATAGTGGCACACATCTGCAAGTAGATACGGTATTATTAACAAGGTTACAAGAAATAGCCGGACAATTACTTGTTACAAAAACTGAAGAGACCAGGGCTGAAGAAAGTACTGTAAAATTTAATAAAGTAAGTATTTATATTTTCAATTGTTTAAAAGTTTTATTGCATTTTCTACTATTAAAAGTCAGACGTACAAATTATGCGATGATAATCAATTTAATCTGAACTAGGCACAAGCACACAGGTACAGATTTGATATTATTCATTTTTAATGTAGTTTATCATCTAAAGGTTCATCAGAAAAAAAATTATAACATACACAGAGAAATTAAAGTTAGAAATGGACATCATACATGAAAAGTGTCCACTCAAATGAATTGTAATAATGAAATAATGCATACCTGTTCAGCATTTCAGATATTTTGTTTAATTATTAATATTAACCTTTAATTTTTATAATTCTGATACAGTAGAACCTCGAAAACTCGACCTAATGTGGACCGAAGGGTGGCCGAGTTTGTGAAAATGCCGAGTTATCAGGAATGGGGTTAAAAAAAATAAGTACGAGTATTTCCTCAGAAAATACTGTACTGTACTTGTACAGTATTTACTTGTACAGAATATAACAGAGAATAAACTGCCCAAATACCCTTAAACAAAGGAAAAGTACGTCCTTTATGAAGGCATAGAGCCACTACATGAAAATGAAAATTAATGAATACACTGTGTACAGTAATTTACCTGATAAGACAGACCTCAGAAAAATACTTT